GTTTTTGGATTTTTGTTTTGTTTTGGTGACACTGGGGCCTGAACCTGGCTTTTGCTTGCCTAGGCAATCTACTACTTGATCCACTGCCCCAGCCCTGACATTGTATATTTAATCCAGTTTAACAGATTGTTCTTTTCCCCTTTAAATAACTGGGCACGACTTTCTCCTATGCTTAAACAATTATTAGGAGATGGGAACTTACAAATACTCCTAGAAAGGGGGACAATATGAATATGAAAAAGAGTGATAGAGTTTATAAGCATACTTTGCAAGAAGCATACTTATAAAAAGGAAAATATGGAACCATAAAGTGTTGATGAATAAGGTAGGAATATCATTTATAGTACTTCGATAGGAAAAGAGAGAAAAGTGGCAATACAGGGTGGACTCTAACCTTGTCAGGAAGGAGAAAGGGAAGAAAAACTACATTGGATTTCAGATGAAAATTAAGTTTTTGAGAACTTCTCTTCTCCTGTGTTGTGGCAATGAGCAATCCTAGAACTTCTGTGGTCACCAAGTGGAAGTTTTGGTCTATTTGGTGCTGGTTTTATATTATCTTTGGCCCCATTTTTGCTGACTCTTTACCCTAGCTGTGAGACACTGGTTTCTCTCTTTGTGGCTAAGGGCCTGGCTTCCTTCCCCGGTCCCCTCACTGTTGGCTTAAAGGGACAGACAGTGAGAACAGAACAGTGCCAAAATGCAGAACTGCTCAACAGCCAGGCTGGATCCATGCAGGACTGCAGACAAGGTCCTGAGTCACTGGGCCAAGAGCTAGAACTTGCTCCTTCTCACTTCTTACGTAAAAAGACAAGATGGCATTTGCTAGTGCCAACTCATTGGTCCTCCACTTTTATTATGCATTTTACCAAAAATAAGAAATGCCCAGGCTGGCAGAAAAGTAGGCAGAAGACTGTAGACATGCTGAATAAATATATAAGGATCTGTGTTTTAAAAAATGTATTTATATTTTTTGATTGGGCACCTTGGACCTGCAGGCATCCAACACTGCCATTTTCTTCACATTTGTTTTACACAAATTTTTCTGTTGATGAAATGAAGTCCACAAGAGGACAATACTAAGATCATGGAAACCAAAAAGGAAACACTCACTAGGCTGCTCAGAGGCAGGTTCTGCTAATGATAGGCCATTGCTGTGTGTTCCTGCATAAGTGGAAGCAATCCACCGGTTATTCTTCTGCTGCTGGAAAAGTTGGCAGAGTGAAACCCCACTCCACACAGACTCAGAAGGTTGGGTTGATGTCTGGCTTTTCCTTTCTAAAGACATTGTACTCACCTTGTATAGCATAGGCACCCCATCTCAAAATAAAATAACCCATGAGAAACTGAATTATTAACAACGACAAAAAAAGCCATCAAGTCTTTAAAAAAAAAATAACCCATATTTCCCCAGCTCAAAAAGTATAAAGATGCAAACAAGAGCCTCCATGTTTGAATCTTTACTCCCATTTCCTGTGTGGGGAGTCAGAAGTGTTTCTCCTCCTTTTTTGTTTTCATCACTTCTCCCTACTCTAGCTAAATAAATCCTTGCTGACACTTCAAAAAAAATGATTTTCTAGATTTTGTTTCTATCTGCCAAGGGATATTTGTTCATGAAATCTACATATTTCATGAAAAATAAGCTTATCATCTACAATAATTTCAAGCTGTTTACTCATTTAATGAGTAACTCAAGTTCAATTCTAGCAAAATTTGTATGATTTTCCTTTCTGTGTTTTGCCGGCATTGACAAGACTTTTATACATATGCTAATCAGCAGAGAAGTGGTAGGAAACCAGGTTGTAGGGAGCAACTTGGAAAAAACTTGGAAAGTTTAATGACATTAATGGCTAGACCCAATGTGATCATTAGTCTCTGGAAAATGGAAGTATTGATGAAAATTAATAAGGCTATCATTGATGAAATAGGCTGATTTAGGCTTGATACAATAATTATCATTTAGAAGTATAAGAACACCTATGATCATTATTTTATTTTCTTCAAATACAGTATATTTCTATGACCTTAGGGTAATACGTGATATAGAAATCAGGACTTTTTCATGGAATTGTTGTGCTAAACTACAATTGATCTGAGTCTCAACTTAGACTTGTGGCTAAGGAAATAAGTTCAGAGACACCATATCTTATCACAACCTTTACGTTTGGCACCACCAAATAATCAAGTCAGCCAGGCACTGAAAAAAGTGAATGTCAGAAAAGCATTTACTTTGTAGGACAGTGGACATTTTTCTCAGACTACCCAATGTGGGAAACAGACGCCACAGGTGCCTGACCTGTTCTGACTGACTTTGAAAATCACCAAAAATGCCCACATTCAAGAGAGGCCTGCTTTTTTAAGGAACAACAAAGAGAGATGATATAGACAAATAAGTCCTAGGATGAAGATGATGATAAACAGTGGCGCAATGCAAATCTGAATAAAATAAGGGACCAGAGTGCAAATTACATGACCTCTGTGGCTTGGGAAGCCTAAGAAAGTGTACATGTTTGGTGTGTGTATATGTATGTGTATTGTGTTTGACATACCACATATAGGAAAGCCATTGTTGTAGAGCATAAGAAAAAACAATTACAAGTTGTGGCAAAAAAAAATGATGCCAGAAATAGTGGTTTTTAACTGATTAGAGTTCAAGTGCATTTTGTGGATAAGCATGACCTCTGGTGTTAATCTAGGGAAATTCTAACAGTTAAATGCCTTAATAGAAGAAAGAGAAGCAAATGTCATTTTCTGAAAGCTTATCACTGGAAGTTGCTGGTCCTGGTTTGGAGTTCTTTATTTCCTCCTTTGTGCCTTCCCTTCCCACTCTGATACATAGGAACATCTGCTATGTGCAAAGCATTGTCCACATTGAAGAGTGTTGTCTTTGTTGCTCCAAATGCTTAACATTACATATTATCTCCTCACAAGCCTACGCAGGAAGAAACCCCACAAAGTTATGGTATACATACTGTGATAGTCTACATATAATCTTAAAAATCGTGTTTTTTTTTTTAAAGGGAAATCTTGAAAAGAACTTAAAAGGACTCCTGTCTTCAAATTATGATTCGGACTAAAAATGAAACACATAGTTGTTGGGCTTTTAATCTTGTGGTCTTTTGTCATCATGCTGATAGAGGTTCCCCACACTCTCGAAATGCAGACATTTATTAGCAAGAAGAGGTTTTGAATGTGTGTGGTTAGTTGACTCCTTAATAGGAAGGTTTTAAGGACAAATGTCTGATTGGTTCTCCTGTCTCTCTAGCCACAGCCAGTTTCACATTATTACATTATTTTATGAGCTTTTCCAAAATATCTTCTGAAAATATCTGTTGTTAACCTGAGTTTTGGTGTTCTGATAGTCTTCATGCCATAGACCCAATTTCTGTTTTCTTCTGTAATTTGCACATTCTCTCTTCCTCTACACCCTCATTCAGAGAAGTGAGAAGCAGGTACAGGCAGCAGTGCCTTAAGCTTTACTTAGCACTCTTTGTTTCTAAGTGAATATGACATTGCAACTAACCCCATGCTAAGGTATAGAAGTATACATAGCAAAAGAATCAATTATTTTTCCCCCTGCTATTTTGTTTCTGGAGCCTCAGTCTTGAATTTGTATTTGAGAAAGTCTGTTTGTCCCCCGGGGATGTGGTTTTTATTTTCATTATATTTTAGTAACTCTAGAACTTGACATCAACACTGGTAACAACTACTGTGATATTGGGGAGGGGGGGTTGGTCCATGAAATCTTTCAGCTACATTTATGAACAGCTGATGAAAACATTAATTTACCGTATGCTTCTTTGAAATATTTAGATTTATAAGGATGAATTAAACATTTTTACTCAATAGCTGTATAGAGCAAGTGGGAGAGGGCAGTATAATTTGTGAAAAGAGTACAACTTAATGTTTAATGGCTTTTGTGCTCGAGTTGTTTCTTCAGGCTAGAAGGTGAGTAAGCCTGATTTGGAAGCTTTCATTTTAAATTAATCTTACTCATAGAATTGTTTTTAATCCTCCTTCTTACCACACCATTCATGGAATGTCTGCTCAGCTGTCCTGCAAATTCAAGGCATTCCGTTATTCTAAACATTTTATTAATTTCCCCCTTTGGAGATTTAAAAACAAACAAAAAATTGTAATAGATGTATAAGAATGCCTTCTCTGATTTTTAGGCACTAAAATTATTTTCTTGGCTGAGAAATTCTCCTTCTGACGCTATCACTCATATTTCATGTCAAGGACAATGGGAGTAAAAGCGAATTTCCCCTTTTTCCTTGTGAACCTATTTACATGCATGTACAAGAAATTAAAATTGTTTAACACATGGCCAAAGAATATTCTAAAATAAATTATTCACTCAATGATATTGAAACACACACACACACACACACACACACACACACACACGCCAAACACAGACTTAGAAGCAGGTACCAGGTAAGCAACTTTAGGGCAGCTGCAGAGTAGAATATCAAGAAATTGGATCCACTTGAGAATTCCAATTAGTTAATGAGGGCGATCGGCTTTCACTCCAATTTCCTAGTCTAATTTATTATAATCTCCATCATGAACAAAATCATGCTTTAAAATTACAACTTAAAATGAAAACCCATATTCAATTGACCACTTTCGTCTCTTTCTTTTGTGAGGAAGACTGGGAACGTCAATTCACAGAGAAATCCAAATGTAGACTTAAGATGGAGATGCAACAATGTAACAAAGAACCCTCCAATGGAGCCCCTCCACTCAGTGTTAGCCAGCATATCGCCCAAGAGAACAGCCTCGCACGGCAAATTTCCAAGTGTATTTTTTTATTGGTTTACTAAAAGATCATCACACCCAAGCCCAGCAAAGCTTTTGCTGTCCCCGGGCAGGGATGGCTCAGCCCGAGGTATTGTGAATAAATTCCCACCCGCTGCTGCAAGCAAGGGCTGGGCCAGGAAGATGCTCCAGCTTGGCACATTGGTGACCCGCCTTTGCTTTGTCTGTGCTGCAGGTGAGGAGGAGGGAGAGGCAGAGCAGAGGAGCTAGTAGTCGGCGAGGGCCGAGCAGCCCCCAGACCCTCGAGCAAGCCTCCTCTCCACGGCGGGAGAAGCCCTCGGACCCACCCACCCGGGTTGCAGCAGGGCCTGAGCACCGGAGCCGGGACGCGGCGGCCGGGGGCGCCAGCCCCTCATGTTCCGCAGCAGGCGCAAGTGTGAGCGGGCGGGAGCGGGGAAAGCCCTCCGCCCCCGCCAGGGGGACCCGGGAAGCCCGCGCGGGCGCCTCCCGCGGACGGAGGGGGATCCCCTCCTCCGGCCCCGCCCCCACCCCCTCCTTCCCTCCCTCCTCTGGCCCTGGCGCCGAGGCGGTTAACCCTCCCCGCGCCGCAGCGCAGCGCAGCGCACTCCGGCGACAGCCAGCACAGCCAATCCCGGCTTCGGGACACATCCCCGCGCGGGGTCTGCGCCGATCCCACAGCGGCCAAGCCAGCAGCAGGCCTGAGGTTGCCCCTTTCCTGTTGATGCACTGGCGCCAAACATTTGCTCCCCCAAAACCTGGGACCCCGCAATTACTTGGCGGATAGGCTGCAGCCTACTCTCGGCGGGACGATCCCGGAGAGGCGGGCGCTGCTGTTGTACAGCCTTATGAGGCGTGAGGGCAAAAGAGCGATCTGGATGTCTCTCGGCGCCTGTCCCACAGACTGGTGTGTGTGGGTGGGGGGCAGTCGTGCTGCATTACCAGGGCCCAGTGATCCCCGCAGCGCGTCCGGCCCCAGCCAAGGGGCGGCGGCACGGGAGAGAGAAAGGAACCTCTTTTTCCAGCCTGACTGTGTGTGTGTGTGTGTGTGTGTGTTTGGGGGGCGGTGGCGTTTGCATCCCGGGTAATGCTCAGGGGGGCCCCGAATCGATCCAGTTCGTGGAATCCCCACCCGACCTGCGACCCCTGGGGTTTCATTCTACAGACTCCCTTCCCCACTTCTCTCTCTCTCTCTCTCTCTCTCTCACACACACACACATTCCCCTAAGCCGCGCGCGCCGCAAACTCAGTCTCGGTCCCCGCAGGTGATGTCATGCCCATTGTTTTGGTGCGATCAACCAATCGGACTCGCCGCCTGGATTCTACCGGAGCCGGCATGGGCCCTTCCTCGCACCAGCAGCAGGAGTCCCCGCTCCCGACCATAACGCATTGCGCAGGGTGCACCACCGCCTGGTCTCCCTGCAGCTTTAACAGCCCTGACATGGAAACCCCATTGCAGTTCCAGCGCGGCTTCTTCCCTGAGCAGCCGCCACCGCCGCCGCGCTCCTCACACCTGCATTGCCAGCAGCAGCCACAGAGCCAGGACAAGCCGTGCCCGCCCTTTGCGCCCCTCCCGCACCCTCACCACCATCCGCACCTCGCGCACCAGCAGCCGGGCAGCGGCGGCAGCAGCCCATGCCTCCGGTGCAACAGCTGCGCCTCCTCCGGTGCCCCGGCGGCGGGGGCGGGGGCGGGGGATAACCTGTCCCTGCTGCTCCGCACCTCCTCGCCCGGCGGCGCCTTCCGGACCCGCACCTCCTCGCCACTGTCGGGCTCGTCGTGCTGCTGCTGCTGCTCGTCGCGCCGGGGCAGCCAGCTCAATGTGAGCGAGCTGACGCCGTCCAGCCATGCCAGTGCGCTCCGGCAGCAGTACGCGCAGCAGCCCGCGTCCGCCTCCCAGTACCACCAGTGCCACAGCCTGCAGCCCGCCGCCAGCCCCACAGGCAGCCTCGGCAGCCTGGGCTCGGGGCCCCCGCTCTCACACCACCACCACCACTCCCACCACCAGCACCACCAGCCCCAGGCGCGCCGCGAGAGCAACCCCTTCACCGAAATAGCCATGAGCAGCTGCAGGTATAACGGGGGCGTCATGCGGCCGCTCAGCAACTTGAGCGCGTCCCGCCGGAACCTGCACGAGATGGACTCTGAGGCTCAGCCCCTGCAGCCCCCCGCGTCCGTCGGAGGAGGTGGTGGCGCGTCCTCCCCGTCTGCAGCCGCTGCCGCCGCCGCTGCCTCGTCCTCAGCCCCGGAGATCGTGGTGTCTAAACCGGAGCACAACAACTCCAACAACCTGGCGCTCTACGGAGCCGGCGGCGGAGGCAGCACTGGAGGCGGCGGCAGCGGCAGTGGGCATGGCAGCAGCAGTGGCACCAAGTCCACCAAAAAGAAGAACCAGAACATCGGCTACAAGCTGGGCCACCGGCGCGCCCTGTTCGAGAAGCGCAAGCGGCTCAGTGACTATGCGCTCATCTTCGGTATGTTCGGCATTGTGGTCATGGTCATCGAGACCGAGCTGTCGTGGGGCGCCTACGACAAGGTATGGGCTCGAACCCTTGTCCGCTGTCCTAGAGCGGGGCGCCAGTGGATGGGTTGCGCGCGGGAGGGAACCCTACGCTTTGCGAGAGCAGCGAGCGCGGCTGGGACGCGCGCCCCTAGTTGGCTAGCAACTCGGGGAGAGAACCTTTCCGCGTGTGGCCAAAGTTCTTGGGGCGCCCAGAGTGCCCGGCGCTTCCGGGGCACATTAAATAAGGGGTACTGGGAGTCGGTGGGGGAAAACATGTGTATTCCTGTCTGGTGACCCAGTGTAGGAGGCCCTTGTCGACCCTCAGTGCTTGAACTCTGGAGGAACTTCCTTTCGGGTTGAGTGAGGCATCAGCGGGTGATGGTGCGGACCCAGCCGCCTTGGGAGCCTTCCCAGATGCGGGCATTTTTTCTCTTGGTTTTCAAGGCCCAATAATCTACTTCACAGCGCAAGACCAGTGTCCCTTACTGTAGTTTAGGTGCACTTAGCGGGGGAATGACTATCACTCATGGCCTGGAAGGTGTTTACAAGTGCTTTACTCTTAAAAAGTCTTCCATCTGATTGTGTTGCAGGCGTCCTTGTATTCCTTAGCTCTGAAATGCCTTATCAGTCTCTCCACGATCATCCTGCTCGGTCTGATCATCGTGTACCACGCCAGGGAAATACAGGTAACAGTTTCTGCTGCTTATGAAAGACCCAAAGCCGAAGCCGTGCAGACAGCCTGGGGGAAAAGCAAGGCAGCAGAGTGATTTCCAAACCAGTATGCCCTTGCTTGAGGTTACTGGAGACACACGCTGTATTCTTATGTGAACCACTGACCTGTTCTTTCAAGAAGTTACACACAAAATAAGGCAGTGTGGCACGTAGACATGCAAGTTCTGTCTGGGATGTATTTGTTAATTTTTAAGGTTTCCCCGTCTTCTTCAATCAGTCACATTTGTTCTCCTTAAGGTCAGTTAGTTATACCCTATCCTTAATCTGTATCGTAAATGCTCTCTAAACACCTAATGAGTAAGTTATTATGGGAGGTCTTGTTCATCTCTAGCGTCTTCTATAATGTAGCATAAAGAAAAAAGTACATTGGTGATGTCAATAGCTAATTTATAGAAACAAGAAAAGAACCTCTAACCCTTTCCTATATCCCCCAATATTTTTTAAGAAGTTTTTTTACTTTATAAAGTCTGTGTCTACACAGAATTTAAATTCTGTGTAGACACACAATTTACTACTAAATTACAGAGTTTAGTAGATTTTACTAAACCTACTAGTAAATTTAGTCGAATTTACTACTGAACTACAGTTTAGTAGATTCTTAGCTACAGTTATTTGAGTTTTTTTTTAAAAGGCCCACTGCCCTTGCAAACTGTTTTGAGAGGAAAATATTTGTTTTGCTCAAATGCAGCCAGGCCCTTTCTTGCTGGACTTGGCACTACCAAGCATCTCAGAATACTCTACAAAACTCCTGGGTTCTTTTGTCAGTTTTTTTTTTTAAACTAGAGTCCACACTCAAAGGAGCATGAAGTTTGTGGATTAAAATAACTAGAGTTTTCAAAAATTAGAATGGAATTTTCCAGCTTAGATTTTATACAAATGTGTATTTTCTGATTTTTTTTGTGGGATTATGAAACATTCAAATTTAGGCTGCTTTAAATTTTAAACACTGTCTAGGATTTACCGCATAAGTAATTTACTATTAAAGTTAAGTTAATTTCAAATTAGTGATTAGCAAACACATACTGAGTATGAAAGAAACCACTTTTAATGACTGCCCAAACATAACCCTAAGCGAGGAGGGAGAATTTTGCATTTATATTAGCTAAAACTTTGAAAAGTGTGTGTTTGAAGGGCTGAGGTTAGGGAATAAGAATTAGATAAAGCAAGTATTTGGAGAGACATAATAACACTGCACTGGCAAAATAAGGAAAATGCTCATTTGAAACTTTTTAACTTCCAGAATTTACACAGATCTATCTTTAATTCAGTTCTTGTGATTGTGGGTTTTTGAGATTCTTTCAAATGTTTTTGATTGGCACTGTCATGTCCCTTAAACATGGCGAGTGCATCTTTTCATTTTGACTTGAAGAATAGACAGTCAAAGATGGAAGGAACAAAATGGTTCTGTGACTCAGTTTACAGATAGGAACTGTGGGAGGCACACAATTCTGCCAGATCATGCAGCCAGCAGCACAACCAAAGAGCAAGTCCTGTCCTTCCACCTTCCAGTCCATGCTGCTGCCTGCTGCGTTCTTCAGCTGCTGGCTCCAAGCCCTGAAACCTGGTATTGCTTTATCTGTGTTTTGCCGCTAAATCCACACCAAAGTTTGGTATATGAATAGGATTAAGCCTAAAATATTATTCTAGAATGTTTTTACATTTTTAAAGAATCAAATAACTTAAAAATATTTTTCATGGAGACCAGAGTGGTTTTGTTTAATCTATCCTAGAATGAGAGACCTTGCTGATTTTTTTTATTTTATTAAACTTCAGTTTTCCTAGTATTGGCTGTTCCTTCTGAAAAGCACACAGCTAAACAAGCATTCATATGAGAGAACTAGTATCATCATCAAGAATAATGTGTCTTCTTAAAAACACTGACTTTTCATAAATTATTAAGAGATTTTTTTTGAACTAAGTCAGGAGTCTAAGAGGAGCTGCCAAATGTTAACTGTGTGCCCTCAAAATTGATTCAGTATTAGAATTCTTGAAACTTAAAGACACTAGGAAATATACAGGAAATCATATCTTTATAGGTTCACGTTTGAAAGCATTGCTTTCATTGGCCAATTTAGACTTGTTCTGTTATGCAAATGCCTAGATATATTGATTGGGGTATGAGTAGAATTAGGTGAGAAAAATGAGGACATGGATTGGCACTTTTTGTTGAATAAGTACAGTGAACTTCTTTACTTTTGGGTACCCTAGACATCTTAGAATTTTAGATTTTTTTAAATTGGGTTTATTTTATATGATATATGTCTCTGTTACACCTGCTATAGTTTGAGCATTTCAAAATAGAGGCTTGGGTAATATCACTTAGTTATTTTGATTGGAGCATGTATGCTCAGTATTTTATGTAGAGGGATTTCTCCCTCAAGGTGAAGCTCCAAATTCTCATGAGATGCTTTAAAAAAAATTAACGGGAAAAGGGCCAAATAAATGTGAAGACCCTAACTAAGATGTCAAGACCCAGAAAAAAAAAGTAGGAATGTTCTAATTTCTCCAAGGAACTGAGTGAACAATGAGCCAGAATGCTTCACTTTGAAACTTTGTGAAACCATGTGCATAGGCTTATGTGTGTTCATGGGAAATGTCAACTTGTACCTTTCTTTTTAAGTTCCTGCTGTCACTATGGTAGGTGTATTTCTTCCATAAAAACTTCTGTGGTAATGGGTACTTTTCAGTTTATACAAAGAATTCCAAATATATTGATTGAGCTCTGAGTTACATAAGTACATTCAGGGGCTATGCTGTCACTCGGAGCATGTCTTTGAATGAAGGATATAATCTACAGTGAGTTTTAGTTTTATTTTTAGCATATCAGTATGTGCTGCTGGTGTGAGTTTCCGGTGCTCTGTATGATTTCCTACTCCATTCGGGAAAAGTAAGTGTTAGAGCTAATATTCTGGTGTGTGTCCCTGGAATTACTTAACAAGGCTTGAGGAGACCCTGACATTTTCATGGAGAACCTTGGAAAGCAAATCAGTGTGACCTTTTATAAAATGTTTATACACACTGTGGCAAAATAAAACGGTTCAGGTGAGTCACGGGCAGAGTGCTTGGGTTAAAATGGTGTGATGGGAGACTTGGAAAGAGTACAGCTCCCTAAATTTCGGCTTTAGTGGAATTTTTCAGTACCACAGACAGCTCAATGCACCAGGCTACATACTTTGTTCATTTCACTAATTACTTTTATTCTCCACAACCAAAACTAAAATCATTGTGTGTATGTGTGTGTCAGACAAAAAAAAAAAAAAATCAGGCAGAGTAGAAGTGGATTTTCAGCTAAGTAGATGATAGAGTTTTTCAAATATGTATTTGGCCTTGCTTTCTGTATCAGTAAAAGCAAAAAAAACAAAAGGAACAAATGAGAGAATTTATAAATAAACTTTAATAAAGGCTTGAATATCATGACCTTCTCACAAAGGCAAAAATACTATTGAGATGGCTTTTAGACAATTTGGAAAATGTTACTTGAGATGAATTTCTCTACCTCATGTCTCAAGGTCAAATTATAGAAAAAGGAGAAGCGTGATTTTTGGTGACCTTTTTTTTTGTCCTCATCCCTTGCAGTGGGGTTAGAGAGATTTCTTTGATCAAATAAATATTAAACAAAGTTTATATACTCTTTAATAAAATCTGAATGAACATTGCACTTCATGTTTTTCAAGTTTCATTATACTATCATTTTTCCATGGAAGCAATTTTAACAGAAAGAAATCAGCAAATATAAGATTGTGAGGTGGGGAAGAAAGTCCCCTGAAGTGGTAGCTGATTGTTCTGGTTCTCAGGGAACTTGGAAGAATGGCAGCTACAATACTTTATGGTGGAAAGTATTTCCAACTTATAGTAGTTTATAATTATAGGATAAGCAGCACTGGGAAAGACACTCAGATTTTTCTTTGGCATCTTTTATAATGGAGTAACTATCTTTTCTTTCAAGTCAGCTTTCTAGAGATGGACTATGTAAAGCTGTAATTAGAAGGGAAGCAACAAAAATTTCTCTTCAGTTAGCATGGAGGCCACCCGAAGGAGGAAGGAATGAGTGGAGGCAGGGGCTTTAGTGATCTGTGATGTTTCCTGGATGGCTTGGGAGGAATGGCTCCTCGCTGCTTGATAGGCTCTGTGGTTTGCCCTGGGAAGGGTGGGGGAGAATGTTCATTTTCCTACTCCTACAGGGAGCAAGCAGATGCTTCTAGACCATGCAGAACATATAGCACATACAGTAATCATTCTTATTGAGAAAACAACAACCACATATAGAAATGAGTCAAGCAGTGTAGAAGTGTTTAAAACAGAAAGTATAGTTCACATTCTGTATACTCTCAGTCCTGTTTAGTCAGAGGAGAAACTTTTTTAAGTTTTATATGCATTCATCCAGAATTCCAAAAACAAATACTTAGAAATGTACATATATATACATACCTTGCTTTTCTTCCTTCATGTATCTTTGATACATGGTTTTTCCTTGTGAATCACTGGAGACATGGCTCATTCATTCTTCTTTAGCTGTGGTGTAATATTCTGTTCTATGGATGGACTGTGGATTAGTTTTCCACTGTTAAGATAAGTAAGAGCCGGTAGGCAAATTGGAGTTTTCTAGGTGTTTTGCTATTATAAGTGATGCTAATATGTATTGAGTTTAATATACAAATCTGAATATATATTTTATAGACAATATCATATAGATTTCCAGAGTAATCTTCAGATTGCTGAGTCAATATTAGGATGGAGGGTGCAGCTTAGTGCTAGAACACTTGCTTAGTGTGCACGAGGACCTAGGTTCAATCCCCAGTACCAAATATGTATTTATGGGTGTGTGTGTGTGTGTGTGTGTGTGTGTGTATGTATTGATTACTAGCCCTTCAGAAAGATCAGAATTTATATTCCCTGCTTTCCCATATACTGCTCCTCTATAGCCCTGGTAAGTCTGAAAATTATCAAAAGGAAT